GACTCCGGGACCAGCTCCCGCGACTCCGGGGCGGCTCCCGGTGCCGCCCCGCCCGGCCTTAAAGCGAAAGCGCGAGTGGGGCTGGCGAGGGTTACGGTTTTCCTGCACCGGGAGCGCCGAGGCCGCTGTTGCCCGGAACCACCTGGAACAGCAGGGACTCGTCTGGCCTGGGGCTGTCCTGCCCCCACTACGTACCCCCCTGGGGCGGGGGGGGGGCGGGGTAGGGCTTGGGAAGGAGACGACTGCTCCGAGAGCCACCGATGCCCAGCCAGAGAGGGAATCTAGGATTCCGGAGCTCCCCGCCTCCCCACCTTCTCACTCCCACTTTACAGCAAGGGAGACTGAGACCCAACGCGGGAAAGTCGCAGGCCTAAGTGCTTTACCGCAAACTACGTTTAGGCAACTGGCTTAACTGGCTTTTCTTCTCCCTGAGGTCAGTCTGAGAGCCGGCGCTAAGGGAGACCCGCAAGACCTCACCTGGAGGAAGTCAGTCTCAGAAATAAAGGCCGCGTGTGGTGCTTCCCTGGCTCCTGCCCAAGCTCCTGGGAGAATGGGGCTTGAGAGCAGGCCTCCCACCTGACGGGAGACCTCCCCTCTCTGAGCCTTCCTCTGTGTAAAGGAGGCCTGAGATTCAGATCCGTGAGGGTGGGCCCGCCCGCGGGGCTCAGCGGTTGAGCGGCGATCTATGAACCCGGAGGTTACGTTCCATCAGTGCACATGCCCCGTTGCAGGTTCGATCCCCAATGTGGGGTGTTCAGGAGGCAGCCAATCAATGATTCTCTCTCATCGTTGATGTTTCTATCTCTCTTTTCCTCTCTGAAATGAATGAAAAAAATATATATTTTAAAAACTGTGAGGACTGAATGAGTTAAGCACTTGAGATTAAGCACTGGGCATCTAGCAAGTGCAGGGTAACAGCAGTTTTTGTGGGCTGGTTTTTGGAGTGTCTGGAGGGAGGACCAGCTGTGCGTGTGTGTGTGTGTGTGTGTGTGCATGCGCGCGTGTGTGTGCATTCTTCTATGGGAGGACACTGGAGTTATCTTAAAAAGGTGGGAATGGGGCAGAGCATCCAGGCTGGAGGAGTAGCAGGTGCAAAGCCTGGACAGTCACAGGCTGCTTAAACCTTGACAAGTTCATGTGGGTCAGAGGGAGCTGATTCCCAGACCAGCCTAGGTCTGTCTGGGTTTTGGTTTTGTCTTTTCCTGCTGCTCTAATAAGGCAGGGACAGGGCAGGGCTGAGTCCCCTCATCCATGCCAGGGAGTCCCCACAGAGCTGGCAGGGTGCACTCTCAAATTACAATGGCTCTATTTGAGAGTTTCCTTAGTCAGTGGTGACCTCTCTGAGGGCAAGGACTAGGTGTGACTTGGCTCAAGACCCAGCCAGACCCAGCAGGGCCAGGATCACTGGGACTAGGTCCCGATTGGAACCCAGGGATCTGGCCCGTTCTCCTGGCTCCGTCTTCCTCTTCCCCACCTTTTGGGATCTCTGGGGAGCCCCACGGGCTTGGATATACTCAAGACCCTTTCTGAACAAGCAGCCTCAGATATTCCCTGGCACCAGGTTGGAGACTCAGAGGAGAAAATCGTCACCAGCTTTTGCTTCTAGGGTGCACCCACTTATTACAAACATCACCAGCCAGCTGGTTTTCATTTTTTTAAAATAATTTTATTTTTCAATTACAGTTGATGTGCAATATTATATTTGTTTTTCTTGTAAATTATCACTCAGTGAAATCATCGAGGCTGGGAGACAAGTGCCTTGCCCAGAGTCGCACAGTCAGTACATGAGGAGTAGGGAGTCAGGTGGGGAGAGGAGGTGCCAAAAACCATGTCGTTCTGAATCTTCCAGACCCTTATCAGAATATCCCCCTTCACAGTCTGTAAAGGGAGAAAAACATTTCCCTAAATGCAGCCTCATCTGCACAAGCTCTGCCCACCCTCCTGCCCCACCTCCCCACCCTCTCAGGCCCACGGCCACATTTGGAGAAGCAATAAGCACTGGTATCAGGCCTCTAATGGTTGTTATGAGGGTTAACTGAGTTATTATATGATGTGCTTAGCAACAGTGTTTGGCTTAAAGTACATACTTAGTAATATTGGCTATTATTATTATTATTATTATTATTATATCTGTAAGTGGAAGAGAAGCAATGAGAGAAACCATGATCTTCCTGGCAGAGCATCCTCCCTCCCTCCCCCCTCCTGCCTCCAGGACAGGGGTCCAGCATCCTTTTGCAGGACCACATCCTGAGACAACCAACTACTGTAACATGGTGATATAACTCTTTCTAAGGGTACACATATTACAAAAATCTAGTCATACACGGCATGCCCTTTGTAATAGTTTTTATTTTCATTTCACAGAATTCATCATGAACATCTTCCCATATCTCACTGCATTCTAGTTATTCACTTACATGTCTGGCTCCCCTGTAGACAGCACCTTGAGGGCACATATGGACATCTCATGTCCTTCCCCGTCCCTCGTGCCATCTCAAAGCTGGCACGTAGTAGGACCACCATGAATATAAGTCGTGAACAGCATGGGATATACAATAGCGGTGGGTGGTTCTGTCCCCTGCCCAGGAGCACAGCTCATTCCCATAGGGAGGGAAGAAGACTCAGGGAGTGGGGGCATCTCAAGGTCTGCCAGCCAAGGCAGGTCAAGATCTAGCGTGGGAATATCTTTAAAGATAAGTCTCTGAGCACATTCATTAATGCCAAATAGTAGCAGGATTCAGAGGTTTGACTTCCTGAAAGAGGGGGTTTAGGCCAGTGTTCTCAACCCCAGGCAATTTTGCCTGCCCCAACCCCCAGAGAACATCTGACAATGTGTAGAGACATTTTTGATTGTCACAACCGTAATAAAACTGGTGGGACAATGCCACTGCATCTAAACATCCCACAGCGCATGAAAGGGTGAGGGCTATGCCCTCCATCTTGCCCCGAATCCTCCATTTTGGGCAGCAGCCATGTGCTCAGCAAGGAGCTTCTTCCCGGAAGCCCAAACCTCTGCTAGCCACACCTAGGATTTCTTTAAACTAACCAATGATAATCAAGGGAAGTGCGCACCATAGATATGACCACATCCTGTGTAACAAGACACCGACTTGCGCCTGGCCATTTGGCAGGGCCCACAGTCCTCTCTCCTCCCCTTACTATAAAACCCCTCTCCCCACAGGGCTGGCTCTCTGCCACTTGCTGCTGCGTCAGTAAGGAGGGTAGGGGAGCCAAACCCGGGTTTGAATAAAAGACTCTCTGCTTTTGCATCGGACTCGGCTGGCTCCCTGGTGGTCTTTTGGGGATCCTGAAATCTGGGCTTAACATTTGGGGGCTCATCCGGGATCCCCAAGACCCTCGAGGGACCCCCGATCCAGAGAGTCTGACTGGCTGCGGTAGGTGTCTGTGTGTTGTGTATTCTGTTCTGTGTGATATATGTTCTGTCCTGTGTGAACTCACTTCTGAAATTCTGTAGTGCCCGAAGTGGTCTAGGTGGACGCACTGCTGAAGGACCACGGGCGGGGGAGAGTTGGAAGACGTTCCGCTCCCCAGGAGGGATGCGTATTCCCCTCATGAGGGATGTGGTTTCCCCTCACGGATTTGAGACGAGGCAGGTCGCACCCGCCGGTTTGGCGTAAGGCCATCATCTAGCTTTCGAGTTTGCTTCCATGGAGTTGGAAGGTTGTACTTTTTTGGGGCCCTTTAGTTGTCTGTGTTTGTGTTGTTGTTGTTTTCTGTTTTATTCTGTGGACTTACTGGACGGACATTATGGGACAGACTCAAACTACTCCTTTAAGCATTATGGTCGTTTTAAAGTCAAGGGCTGGGCCAAACATGCTTGCCAGCCTCAGGTGTGGTTTTCCAGGGCAGCTGCGGTGAGCCTTGAAGCCTAGGATGCGGGCCTGGGTGGAGCCGCCGCAAGTGCAGATCTTGGTGGTAGTAGCAAATAATTTAAAGTCCTTCTTGTAATTGAAAAGTTTTACAAAATTTAAAAATGTGTCTGGGATTTCTG